CGAGACACTTTTCTAACTTTCATACTGAAGCAACAATTTACTAATAGCTAAAAATATTTTTTTAAAAAAAGACTATCAATGGACCTTTTCATTTTATTCATTTATATGTGATGCTGAGAATAGAACCCAGTAGTGCCTCACACATGCTAGGCAAGCACTCTACCACTGAGCCACGACCCCCAGCCCCCTAGTAATAGTCTTAAGCTAAGTCTCTTTTTGTAGGGGTCCTGGGGATTGAACCCAGGGGTGCTCCACCACATCCCCAGCCATTTTTGTGTTTTTATTTTGAAACATGGTCTCACTAAGTTGTTGGGGCTGGCCTCCAACTTGCGATCTTCCTGCCTCAGCTTCCTGAGTTGCTGAGATCACAGGCCTGTGTCACTACACCTGGCTATTAAGCTAAATATTTTTAAAGCATCACTCACTGCTCCCCACTCATCTCTCCAACTCCTTGATCTTGTTAAACAACCTCAGCAAGATCAAGGAGTTGGGGAGATGAGTGGGGAGCAGTGAGTGATGATGAGATGAAACAGTCATGAGCTTTTCCTAGAAAGCGTCCCTGTGGAGTTAGAGAGTGTTGTGTGGATATGGAATGGAATGAGAATGGGAAAGTGACCCTGAAGTGCCTAACACGGGGGTGGGGGGGAATAAACAGGAATCCCACTAGCTGGGGAGAGATGAAAAAAACAGCAAAATAGAAATTATAGAGTTAAATGAAAGGAGAAAGATCACCAGTCTCTCAGCCAAAATGTGGGTGGCACAATTTAGTCCCTTGATGTCACTGTTGAGCTGCTGGAAAACTCACTTGGAAGCTTGCTCTATGTTCCAAGCTGCTAATTACGTGAACTTATTTCCTTACTTTTAAGCTACTCTGAATTTTCTTATTTAGTGGTGAGCTTCCTAATAGATACACCCAGTTTCACAGATAGGAACACTAGGTTCAGAGAAGCATACACTTACAGGGGTGAAAAATTGAGAGAAGAAAACTATAATAAAATTTTGGAATATAGCAGACCTGAGAGAATTTTGGAAAAAGCCAATTTAGCAGAATCAAGAAAGCTGACTCCTAAGCCAGGTGTGTTTGGTCTATATGCTAGTCTCCCCCAGAGTCTCTAAGGGTGGCACCACCAAGCGGAGTAGTGAGAGCTCAGTGAGGAGGGCTGCTTGAAAAGCCTATTGGGAAGGGGTCTCATCCCACATCATCTCCCTCTGAGCGAGGTTCCAGGCACCTGTCTCCCTCCTGAGGAGAGGAGTGAGGGTTACTCTGAGGGTAAAAGAGGGCAGGTCTTAGCCCAGTGCAGTGAGGGTGGGAGTGCCACAGACGAGTCCTCACCTAGACAGCCAGGCTTCAGTCCTGCGGGGAGAGAAGGAGGGTCTCAGCTGAGGATCTGTCTCGTCTAGGAGGAAAGCGCTACACATCCAGCAATAAGCTGTTAGCTAGGTGATTCTACAGGAAATGTCACCATTGTCGTCGGTCCAATCCACAGAGTCTTGAGCTTCAAATTGGCATTTTTGTTGCTTCATTATTTATTTATTTAAGAATTTAACCTTTATTTATTTTTTGTGTGGTGCTGAGAATCAAACCCAGTGCCTCACCTGTGATAGGCAAGTGCTCTGCCACTGCACCCCAGCCCCAGACCTGTTGCTTCATTCTTAAACAGGAACAGACAAATGAGGTTCACCAGACTGTCTGAGGAAAGCCTCTCTGCGGCACAGCAAACAAGAGCACTTGGGGGACAGAATATGCATGGGAGAAGAACAGCTCATCATAAACTCCCTCTTCATATCCCTAGGGACAGGGATTGTATTCCTGAGAAAGGAATCTTGTGAGCAGGAAGGGATTCTAGAAAATTAGAAACAATAGCATACTTAGAATATTGAACAATAAAGAAAAACTGTTCCAGGAAATTGGTCAAAATTACAAAAATAGGGAAAATAGGAGAGTTAATATTAGAGAGCTACTTCAGGAGATCTGATATATGGCTAGCAGGAATTCCAGATAGGGAGAAGAGAAGGAATAGTGCAGAAAAAATACAAAATCAAGAAAATTTTCAGTTTGAGGAACATGAGTTTGGAGATCCAGAGGGAGGGCTCGTCTTGCATTGAACAGCACACATGAAGATGGACTCACAGCGAGAACACCGGGAACTCGGATGCTGTGTACTTCACAGTGGGACTCACAAGCACGACTCATAAGACACACAAAGGGGCAGGAATAAGAACAGCAGCAGGCTTCTTAACGTAGCAGTGGCTTCAGAACTCTGAAAGAAAAGTTTTTAGCCCAGTACACACCCAACTCTGTATTTAACCAAATGGCGAGAGAAAGGTATTCCCATTTGTGCAGTCTCATGTGATTTCCCTCCCATTCATCTGCTCTCAGCAAGCCACTGGAGGACACACACCACCTAAGGGAGGGGGAGAGGATGGGCCTTGCAAGAAGGGCAGCCCTAGATGACCATGTGCACCCAGGCAGGGGCAGCAGTCTCCGGAGCGGGCAAGTCCCAGACTCTAGGAGAAGCTCTGTCAAGATAATGAAATTCCAAAGAATATAAAACCCAGGAGAAAATAGAGACTATTGGTGCAAAGTTTGAATTGGTGATAAATACATAGAAAACTAATAAGTAAATGAAAAGAAATAATTTTTAATTCTGGGGGTAGAAGAATGTTAAAAAAGAAAGGAAAGCTGATCATAGTTTTCTACAGGGGCAAGCAGTGGGTAGCATTTCTGTTGTTACAGTGATGTGTACAGTGAGGAAGGTGGAAATGGAAGTGTACCACTGCCACACCGAGTTATTCTAAATGCAGAATCAGATCTTAAGGATGTAAACCACCTGAATTCCACTGTTACAGAGCAGGCCCGGTCAGGCTGGGTCATCGCAGATTCAACATGCGTTCCTCATATTGGCTGCAGGCTCCATTTCCCTTTCTTCCAGGAAAGCACCTAACTTTGACTTTGAGTTTTCCCATTAAATAAGATCTGTGGGATTGCTTTTCAAAGTTCTCCACCTCTTCTAGCCAAGGAACTGAACCTTCAAGGGTCATCTGAGCCCTGTCCTTAGGACACTTGCTTAACGGTCACTCTGAGCCCTGTCCTTAGGGCACTTGCCCTGTGGGCTTTCATTCCTGACCCCAACAGCTTAAAGACTGAAAGTAGTTGGGCAGATTCCTCTTGCAGTGACCATGGAGGGAGATCCTGACGCTTCCAGCTGCCTGGTGTCCTCTGTTTGCCTCACTGGCAAGTTTCTTGCTATATCTCATGAGTTCCTTTTCCGTTTTAACCAGGGAATCAATTTCAGTTACAATAACCAATGATGTGGGTTTTAAACCTCAAATAAGTTTCAATTGGATAAGAGAAAATGTTTAAAATGAAAGGTGTGTATGTGTGTAGGTGTGTGAATATGCAAGCAAGACAAATAAAAAAGATTAGAATTTAAGGCCATAAAATAGAATTTTAGTTATAAAGCATTGCAGATGGAGGTCATATGAAGTGGTAAAAAGTGTGATTCATAATGAAGATGCAGCAGTGACAGGTATGACAACAAAGAGAAACCTCAGCAGCTAATACAGGTTCATGAGGAGAAGCTTCTGCAGAACTGAGGAAATCTGACCAAAGCACAGGTGTGCTGGGGATTTTAACTTATCTGTCGCAGAGTTTAAAAGATAAATCAACAAGAATAGGGAGATATTATGTGCAAACCATTAGAGAAAGCAGCAGAAGACCTGAGTAGGAGGGATGCCCAGGTGGAAATGTGGTCAGTCACATCAAGGAAAGGACGTGTTAAGTAGCAGTGGGAAGGTACTTGTCACCCATCACTTCCAGTGCTGGAGAAGAGACTAGAAAACAGGTACTTTCAAAAGTTATTGATGGAAATATAAACTATTACAGTAAATTAAATTATTACAGTAAATGGCACTATTTGGGCAATGTAACCTTTAAATATCTTATAAAACTAAATGCTCACACTTTTGACTCTGATATGAATTTAGAGAACTTGTCATACAAAAATAATAGAATCAAAACATACTGGATGTGCATATGATGATTTTTATTACAACATTGTTTGTAGTGGCAAAAAATGAAGAAAACCTGAATATTCACAAATGGAAAAATTTTGAGTAAAATTGTAGTACATTCCTATTATGGAATAACATTCCTATTATGGAATGTTATTCAGCTGTTGTGGAGTTGGCCCTATGTGTCAACTTGGATGTAGCATTGAAAAGGACAGCAAATGGTCAAGTAAAGCATCTTATTTGGTCCTATTAATATAAAATGCACAACAATATATGATGAAAGCTAAGCACAAAAATGAAGAAAGGTAAGGAAGCGTCAGCTGTGCTGGTGATGGTGGTCCCTAAGGAGGTGAAGGGAGAGGAGGAGACCTTGGTTCTTTCCCACTTGGTACAGTAAGCATGTGATGCTCTTACAATTAATAAAAGATTAATAATAGATCAAGTAAGAATTTTATCAACTTAAGAAATTTTCTAGGAAACATTTTTTTTCTTTTGAAATGTATTCTTCTTTTTATTCTGATTTGTTATAATAGGACAGCAGAATTCATTACAATTCATATTACATATATAGAACACAATTTTTCATATCTCTGGTTGTATACAAAGTATATTCACACCATTCGTACATGTACTTTGGATAATGATGTCCATCTTATTCTACTATCATTTCTAACCCTATGCCTCCTCCTTTCCCTATCTAGAGTTCATCTATTCCTCCCATGCTCTCCCTTCCTACCCACTATGAAACAGCCCGATGCAGGTTGTTTTAATGAATCATAATAATAGCCATTATTTATCAGGTGGTTAGTATGTTAGGAAACATTTTTAATCAAGAAGAACCTGGATGTTTTAAATAATAAAGATGTGAATGTGCTTTTTATAAATCACAGCAACATTTGTTTTTATTCCCAATTATCAGGATTTGCAATAATGTTCTAATGTGCGAAGGGTTCTGTTGTACTTCTAAATATTTTTGCTTTGGGTAGGTCTGTCTTCATCGGTGGAATACAACATAATGGACTTGGAACAGGAACTTGAAAATGTAAAGGCCCTTAAGACAAAACTAGGTACTGTACTTCTTTTTCTTATGTATTGATCTTCAAGAGCTTTGTAATGTTTTGAACAACCAATAAAAAAAAAAAAAGGAAAAAAAAAAGACCTTTCTTTTGTATTGTCTTTAAAGACCTTTCTTTGGTGTAGTCTGAAATACTAGAAAATTTGCAGAATCTTAATGATTGTGTTAGAACTTTCTGTGTGAAGTCATTAGTAAAGACTGTCTTTTCGTTTGGGAAGAGGGCAGTTATATATTCACTCACTTTTTTGTGTGCATATTACTAATAACTTTCAAAGATGCTCATTCTCAAAGGTGTTACTCTTCTGTCTTCTCATTTACATTACTTATGATAAATAATCTGTAATACTTATCTTTTAATATTTATTTTTTAGTTATAGGTGGGCACAATATCTTTTATTTTTATGTGGTGCTGAGGATTGAACTCAGTGCCTCACGCATGGTAGGCAAGTGCTCTACCACTGAGCCCCAGCCCCAGGCCATATTTATCTTTTAATGTATCTGCTATTAGGATACCTCCTTAACTTTTAATTTTGGGCAATCTGCTTATGATGAGCCTTTCAGTGTGCTGTATTCTTTGGATTTATTGAGTCTCTCAGATCTGGGAATTTATACTTTTCATCTAATTTGGAGAATTGTTGGCTGTTAACTTCTGCAAATATATTTTTCCTTATCTCCCTACCCTTTTATCAGGAGCTCAAGTTATGTGTAGATTAGCCCATAGCTTGAGGATGCTTCTGTGCTTTTTTTATCTCTTTTCTTTTTGTTTAATTTTTGATGGTCTTTGACTATCCTTTCACTAATCTTTATTCTACAGGTCTGACCTGCCTTCTGCATGTCTGATCCATGTGTGTTTCTATTCCCAGTTACTAGGATTTATAATTTGCATCAGAGAGTGCAGTTTTCATTTCTGTAAGTTCTCTTTGGGTCTGGTATCTTTCACACCTCTAATTAACATTTCAATCTCTGTCTTCCACCTTTATGAAAATAAGGAACATAATCATGACATCACTTGGAATGTTTTTGTTTGATAAGTCTAACATTTGTGTTGATTCTTGAAAAGTTTGGATTGATTTTCTTCCTCATTATTGGTAGTATTTTGTGCTTCTTTGCATGCTTGGTAGTTTTTGATTTGAAAATTTTGGGGGTGCTATTTTTTTGGGGGATATTGGGGATTGAGCTCAGGGGCACTTGACCACTGAGCCACACCCCCAGTCCTGTTTTGTATTTTATTAGAGACAGGGTCTCACTGCATTACTTAATGCCTCGCTTTTGTTGAGGCTTGAACTCCCCATCCTCCTGCCTCGGCCTTCCAAGCCACTGGGATTACAGCTGTGCACCACCTCGCCTGGCTTGGGTGCCATTTTTGTTACTTCCAGAAGTGAGGCGTTTTGTTTTGGAGAACAGCGAATTCACTTGTAAACCATGTGATGTTACTATGTCTTGGTGTGAAGCCTTATGAGGCCGGATGAGAGCTCTACCACATTCAGGGCTGATTGTCCCCTGCCTCTTAGGCAGCCACTGTTCTTGGCCCTTGCTGATTGCCAAGTTCTGTTCCCTCCGACTTTTGTGTGGAGTGTTTCCTGACATGTCTGATCTGATCATTACTGAGCCCTTTGCAGGCCCTTGGCGTTCTTTGCCTGTAGTTGCAGTCTCCTCTCAGGGACGGTGCTCTGTATGCTTCAGCAGGTTTGGTCCCCTCAGGTCTTCTGCTCAGGAATGAGCAGATCTCTCCTTGGGTTCATCTTCCCTGTGCCATGGTCTGGGGACTCACAAGAAGGTTGGTCAAACAGACTTATACTCTTTGTTTCCCATCTTCAGGGATCACTGTCCTGCCCCAATAAGAAGTCTACTGTCTTGAAAACTGTTATTTCAAATATGGGTTCTTTTTTTTTTTTTTTTTTTTTTTTTTTAAGAGAGAGTGAGAGAGGAGAGAGAGTGAGAGAGAGAATTATTTTTAATATTTATTTTTTAGTTCTCGGCGGACACAACATCTTTGTTGGTATGTGGTGCTGAGGATCAAACCCGGGCCGCACGTGTGCCAGGCGAGTGCGCTACCGCTTGAGCCACATCCCCAGCCCTCAAATATGGATTCTTTCTGGTTCTTAATTCTTTCAGGCTGGATGGCAAATCTGTGCCCTGTCATTCCATCCTCAAAAGTCCAGAATTAGGTTTTCAAAATCAGATATGTTCATTTTAATTTCTGTAAGTAATGTTATATTGCCTCAAGTTATCTTAGTCATTTTACTGTGGATGGATTTCGGATATGTTTCCAGTATTTTGCTTTTAAGAATAATGTTGTTTAAGCATTTTTGTGTGTGTCTTTTAGTGTATGTTTTTTTCAGGACACACTCTAGAAGTGAATTACATTGTACTTAAGTATATTCACTTTTGTAGATAAATGCTAAGTTCTTTCCTAAGTATTTGCATTATTTTGCATTCCTACTAGGCATAGTAGGATTCCCTATTGTCCCCATCCTTGCTAACACTTGACAATGTAGAACTTTTAAATGTTTACCAATGTAGTGCATGGACGTGGTGTTCCATTGGTGTTCTCATCACGTGTTCCATTCTGTGATTGCAGGGCCCTTCTAGCTTCTGCTTAGAAACACTCTTTGGAATTTCACTTAGTACATGTGTCCTGCAGTGATTCTTTCAGTTTCTGTTTGTCTGGAAACATTCACTTTGTAGGGCATTTTTTAACAGAATGGAGAATTCTTATTTGTTACTTTTCCGCATTGTGGAGATGTCATCCCAGTGTCTTCTGGTTTCTGGTTTAAAGTCATATTGTTGGTTTTCGAAGGGCTTTAAATATTTCCTTTTTGTCTTTGTTTAGCTGTTTTACATTGATGTGCTCAGATTTTTGTTTGTTTGTTTGTTTCATGTATATGCATTTTTTTGGTTTCTTGATTATGGTTCTTAAGATCTCTGTGCCTTCATGACTGTGGCTTGATGTCCTTCACCCACTTGGGAGAATTATTGGTCATCATCTCACCAAACACTGTTTCTGCCTCATTCTCTCAGTTATGTACATGGCAGACATTTTCACTCTTATTCTTGTCCATATGTCCCTCCTTTTTCATTTCCATGTTTCAACTGTGATACTTTCTGCAAGTCTTGTTTTCTATTTCACCATCTTTTCAGCTATGCCATGACTATTCCAAACTATCTGTTGCACTCTTAATTTTTGTTATAGTTTTTTTCTAGTTCTAGATTCATGTTTGATTATTTTTATTGGTTCAGACTTACTTGTGAAATTTTCCATTTTGTCACTTACCTTATTGAACCTATCAATCATTTCAGGCCTCTTTCTGGTAAGTCCATAAGTGGACCAACTGAGGGTCTGTCTTCCTCTTTATCCTGCCTTCTAGACATGTTTGACTCAAAGCTAGACTTTTCTAACAGAATCATAGAAATTGAATGCTGTTTTCTTCTTTCTGAGTAGTTTCACTTTGGCCTCTGGTGGGCAGTAGAGTGAGACATAACAACTTAGTCCTTCTGGGCTGGTCTGTTTCCAGCGTGACCTTGATCCTGGGTTATGGCATTTCATTGGTCCTCACTGAAAACCTGGCTATTTTGATCAGGCTTTTTTAATGAACTCTAGCTTGCTTCTCAAGAAACTTGAGCCAGCAGAGCTTTGCTGGGCTTCCAGCCAGGGCTGCATCCTTCTGCTCTCCATAGTCTCTTGGCTATGGAGGCTTTTCTGGGAGAGTGGGTCTGCATGTCAGGTTCTCTTCTTTGCCCTTCCTTTCTCTCTATAATGGTGGCATCTCAAATTCTGGCTGCCCTGGAAGCCCCAAACTCCAGGGTTTGTCTCCCTGGCCCTGTTGAGTTTTCTGAGAGTTTTGCTTTAACTTCGTTGTCTTCTGACTACTGATTTCTGCTTGATCTCTGAGTCTCATGGGTCCATGCCAGCTGCTTATTGGAAAACACCTTTGGGATAAAGTGGTGTACATAGGGGGCTCACCTGCACACAATTCAGAGAATATTGGCTCCTAATTCTCCTATCTGGGTAGCTTTCTGGTGTCTTAATGCAGATGCTTTAAAAGTGGAATTTCCTTTGTCCGGGTATTCTTGGCAGGGGGACTGGTATAGTCCATGGTGTCCTTGGTATCTAGCCATGGATGTCTACTTCTAGCTTTCAGAAAGCTGGGAGTGTCCCTGAGGCTAGAGGAAAGTTCATGTATGTTATTGTACTCATTCAAGGGTATGTCTATGTCAGTATGTATATCTATACCAAATACAAAGCTTTCTGTTTTTCAAAGTAAGCTGTATATTTACAGTATGTTTACATAAAAATGGAATTGTCTTTACAGGGATAAAATTTAGGCCTCCCAGAATTGAGCTGTTTAACATAGTGAACTGAT